TTCTCTGCATACTGCAAGGCGTTAATAAAAAATCCGCTACCATACTAATCCCTCTGATACTACAGCTAGATCGAAAAAAGGAATAATGATTAGAAAGATTAAAGATGATTGATGCCGAAGCAGTAACACATCCAATTAATAATAATATATTTAACAAAACCAAACGGAAAATATTGCTAGCACTCTACAACAAACTGGTTGACTCCTAGATAGATCTATCATATGAAACTAGACAGGACATAACCACGGCCAAAAAGCTGGCACAACACCAAAATTTAAGATAGGGCGGTAATCAACTTAAGATATTTAAATGGAACAAGGTCATTAATTTGGTAACTTGAAAAAGAAAGGAGTTAAAAGTAAGTTAATTCTACAAATTTTCCCGTTTTTGTTAGTTTATTGAATTTACTAAAATGACGCCTTTTTTTAGACCAAACATTTTGCTTGAAACTACGATCCAACTTTGGAAAGTTTCTTGTATTTTATAGAATTGTTTCTTTGAGTAATTAACTTTTCATATTATATGAGTTCGTTGGCATAAATGCTATTTGCCAGATTTTTCCCCTATTAAGGCATCTCACCTAATAGTAAATTGAAAAAATTTCTGTTCTTGTTTTAGTTTTCTTCAACGTTCGTTTTTATCTTGTAAAGTAGATTAAACTGTTGTGGGGGATTTTATAATTTTTAAGAAAGTGGTCCTTCCAACCAATAATTAAAGGTAAATAGAAAAGAGATTGCCAAAGATGTATATGAAAGAGTACGCTAATTTTAAAAATGTATTTTTGAGTTAAACTGTGTTTATTTACACATATAAGGCTACGTCAACTCGGGGCTTAGGTTCCTTGGCGTTAACGCAAGCTAATTTTAAAAACTTTATTTTGCTTCCTTATTCACTGTTACGTTAGAAGCGCTATAGGTAACCAGTAAGTACTACGCGTGTAAGCTAAAAATAGCAATGTTTAACAGAGCTCATGGAATTAAGTACTCTCAGTTACCCTAACGTCATAGGTAGAATAGGTTAAAATTATAAAGCTCGATATTTAAAGTTCTTGTGAAAAAATGATGTAGTTAGTGTTAACCAAGTATTAACACCTTTCACTAGAATTTTCTTAAAATTTAAAATGCATTAACATGGTGTCCAAATAGCTACGAAGGAAGAATCGTTATTTTTAATTTTTAGTAATTTCACTACCACTTCGAATTAAATAATAACTGTACCTCGGAGTATAGACAACTGCCCAGAAACAGAAGTAAAAATATAGAATATATAACTCTACAGGCAAACAGGGCTTATAGGAATTATAAAGTAATTATCTCTCTTAAAAGAGGCTATATTTTTTCTTTAAAAATTTAAGTTTCTAGTGTTGTGACAGAAGAAAATAATTCAACACTTACCCTATCTTAACGGCAGTAAATATATAGTAAAGCTAGAGGGGACGGCAGCAACAAAAAAAAATTCCCAATTAAGTAATAGTTTATAAACGTAACGTATTAGGTTGTTACTTCATTGAAGATGAAAGGCCGTTGTACGGCAAGAAGAGTGTCAATAACAGATCATATATAGTATTAATAAAATAAAATGACAAGCACAGAAAAAAATAAGTATTCAAGAACGAAAAAGAATTGATATTTAAGAATGACCCCTGACCAGAAAGAGAATGAACGAAACTTAAGCTCTCCAATAGGTTCCGTGCATATTTACACATGGGTAAAAGTAAAAAATAATTTAACGGAATTATCTTGGAGGAAAGAGCTTATAAATAGTAAAGTCTAGGACCGCCTGTTACAGTAAATAGTAACCAAAGGTAAACTTTATAGTATTCCCTTCAAGTGAGTCGCAAATAAGTGTTAATTCTATAACTGAGAATCTTACTCAATTACTAAAGTAATTAAAAAGGGCAAACAACCTTCTAAAAAGCCAAGAGTCTTGTAACTTAAAAAAAAATTATGTATAGAATTAACTTATTTACAAGTAGTTTAGATCAATATAGAGGGCAATATGTTACTCTGTTTACTTAAAATTTAGCTTTTTTAAATAACTATATGTAGTTAATAATAAGTATTTTATTGTAAGTCAAGTTATTACACGAGATTAGAAGTAAGAATAAATTTTAAAACAGTGTATGCCTTAAGTTACAAGAAGATTTTAAAAAATATATATTTAAAAAGAGTTAAGTAGCTTATAAAGCATATATTACTTCTCTGGTGTTTATAGAATTTATTTTTAATAGCGTTTTTTTAGTACTCGATCGAGTTTTACAACTTCGAAGACTCGAGCTTTCAAACAGATTTAGTCGCCCATAAGTATAAAAAATTGAGTTCTTCGTGTTTCACTTAACCCTAAACATATAATCAAGTAAGTCATGCGAACGACCCGCTAAAAGATGATCAGCGTGACACATTCAGTCTCCTCCTTTATCCCAACGGAAGCTTACTTTTGCTTCACAATTATGAATACAGAAACTGGGTCGCTACTTTGACCTTGCCGCCAAACAATTACGTGGGGCCTCCCGGCAACTTAGAATCTATGAAAAAAGTATTCAGAGCCGGCGGTGCCAGGAGCGCAATGCGTTTCTTAGTTATAAGAAGCACTTTGCTCTTGGAGAAGTATTAATGACGCTACTAGCTATGCGTGGAGATAACCTGTTTGTTTGAAGTAGTCATATGGGTGGCTTTAACGAATAAATCATCGTATTATTGGCTTAGAAGGGGGGTCAAGAAAGAAAGCAGTGACTATTTTTTTAAAATTAAACGCTATTAGTCTCATTTGGTCAGGCGAAGAATTTGTGAGTTTCTTAAATGCCCATTTTAAAATGTAAACTGAAATCACGGTAAAATTTTACAAGCGTACACCTTATTAACCATCGACAAGAGGCTAATGGGTCCGTATTTGCAGCTTTAATACCAATTACATTGTCTTCGGTAACGACTACCACCCTTTTCCATCTCATGTAAAATGGGCCGGAGGCCATCTTTTAGTTATAGTTAGTAGAAGTAATACATAAAGTCTTAAAGGAATTAACTATAAAAATCAATTAATAATTTTCTTATAACGAGCTCGAGTATAATTACATTTAAAAAAGTAACGTACTGTATTCATTAAAATTATTTTAAAGTTTGCAAGCTGTACGTATTTCTTCAAAACGTTTAAGTTGTTATCAGTCATGTCCGGATTTTACAAAGTAACAGTTTACTTGGTGCATATTAGAGGAATAGTGCTCAAAAGATATTGTTTTAAATTTTGTCATTCTATAAAATAATTGGCAGGTTTCTTAATATATTTAAAATATAATTCTTGGACTTTTAGGTCTTGTCCATGATGTACGAGGGCTGTCCGGCAGAATGTAAGAGTAGGGTGGTAAGACTGATTTTTAAAAACTATCATATTTTTTATTTGTAATATAACCTCCATCTATTCCAACATACTTTATACATTGACCATGCAATTGTTTTATCCCGAGAAAAACATATCCCGAAACAGTCTACCAGTGCTCATCTACAGCCGACCTCGTTTCGTTTTCGTTAAGTAAGTTTTTACCACGTAACGCCTTTTTCAAAACTTTAAACAAGTAAAAATAACTGGGAGCCAGACCTGAACTGTAAGGTGGATAGTTCTTTTCCCTCGAGTTCATATCTCGTATAGCACTCTTTGCAACTCGGGCTGTGTGAACCGGCGCGTTGTTTTGTAATAAAAGAACTGCTCTGTTAAAGTCGCCTCTGTTTTTCTCCATAATGGATTGACGCTATTGGATGATTTATTCAGAATAACATTGCCCGTTCATCGTTCTTTTTCTAGAAAAGAAATCCATTGTAGGTATTTCTGAGCTATCCCAGGATGTCATTGCCATAGGTTTGGTACCACTCTTTGAACCTTTAATTTGCGCGGTGGTATTTTCCTCTTTTTTATCCATTGCATGGATCCTTGTTGGGTTCTGGATCGTAATAAATCCATGTTTCCTCCCAGGTTTAAATGCGACGACGAGTCGCAAACATTCTCACATAACCAAAAAAAAAACGCGGTCTTCCCACTCCTCGTTTTCTACCTAGCGGAGTTGATATTTCGGGATCCTTACTGCGCTCTCACCTAGCCCATTAGTAAATGACTAAGAAGGATTTGTCCAACGCTATCTTTGCTGATCTTTAGTTCTTCTGCTATCTGAGGAACCCGAAATTAACGGTCCTCGTGGCCTAATCTTTTCAATGTTATAATATTTTCTCCCGTAACGACTTTGCAAGATGGAATTGGGCGCTCATCGTCTTTAATTGATCCTCTTCCCAGAGAGTTCACCTTTTGACCGTTGCATACTATGTAGCATGGACAATAATCCCACGTGGATTTCTTTGGTTTACTTCCCTTTTTTTTATGGTACTTTATCACAGCACTAGATATAACTTTCCAAAATGCCAAGGTTTTGCTAGAAAATTTTTTGTTTGTTTAATGCTTACTCAATAACTGTTACATTGGTCATAATCAAATTAGACGCATCAGCTATTAACATTATTGGTGCACAGATACACCCCAACATACCCCCTTCTAGGAAGGTTCACTTTCCGCCAGGGAGTTCTCGTATAAAGGCCTTTTACACAATATTTCAGAATTATATAAAAAGCTGAAAGCATTGCTTGCTTGAAGTTGTTATAGTTACATTTTCTTTTAAAAAAAGTCACGATTTTTTTTTGCGCACTAAGCACGGATCATTACCACATTTATTGTTCTATGTGCTCTATTACTAAATACTATATATTATGCTAAAAATAGTAATGTAATGGCAAGTTCTGCTACGTTTGCTTCTAAATATGGAGGATGGCCCTAACCCTTGCAAACCTAATTAAATTAGCCGATCCTATAGTTACTAACAACTCACTGCTAGATGAGGACGGTAACTACTCTTTGAAAGTATATTCTTGCTTTCCTTTCTATACTAAAAAGTAAATGAATTGAAGAACTTATTTTTATACACAAAAGGTAGCGGCGTGTACTTTTGTTAGATTTCCATTCAATATTCACAGTTGCAACAAATTAATTAGGAAATATATTTATTAGTGCGGGTATTAATATATAATGGGTTGCATTAACAGTAAGTCTTTAGAAGAAAAAAAGGTTAATAAACAAATCGAGGAAAAGTTGGCAGCTGAAGAAAAAGAAAAACGCCGGGAAGTCAAACTTTTGCTGCTTGGTATCCACTCACACAATACAACTTTTATTTATTTTACCAATCTTTATATTAATAATTGTTATATTAAGGAGCTGGAGAATCTGGTAAAAGTACAGTAGCCAAGCAACTTCGAATAATAAATAAAAAGCCATTTACTGAACAGGAAGTTCTTGGATATCGAAATATTATTTATTTAAATGTGTTGCATTGCATGTCAACCATTATAAAAGTTATGCCCACTTTAGATCCACCCCTTTCTTTTTCTAACTCAAAAAGTGGAGATGCCGCTGAAAAGATACTCCACACAGTTCAACAAGATGAAATTAACTCAGATCACTTCCCTGAGGAGCTTGCTCAAGCTATAACTGAGTTATGGGAAGGTATATATAATAGTTTAACCACTTTTTATATTTAGTTTTATAACTAATTAGATTCTGGTGTTCGTGCTTGCTGTGAAAGACGTAGTGAGTATCAGCTTCAAGATTCTGCGGAATATTTTTTTGAGAATGTTCAAAGATATAAAGAACCCGATTTTCTACCGACCCAGGAAGACATAATCAAATGTCGCGCTAAAACGAGCGGGATTATTGAAACGTGTTTTGAACATGAAGGCCTGGTTTACAAGTGAAACAAATTTTTATATAGTACCGGTTATCAGTTATTTACTTTCACTTAAATTAAATGAGGATGTTTGATCTTGGCGGGCAACGCTGCGAACGTAAAAAGTGGCTCAACTGCTTTGAGGATGTTACCGCCATCATCTTCTGTGCTTCCTTAAATGAGTTTTGTTAACTGCCTTTTTTACTGATTTTTAAGTTAACCGTAGTTTTAATATATTTAACTCTTATATTATTATTTATATAATCAATTCTATTTGTCTTCAGTTATGACCTCACGTTACTTGAAGATCAAAGCGTTAATCGCATGGAAGATAGCCTTCAACTTTTTGAAAGCATTAGCAACAATAGGTGGTTTGTGAAGACCTCCATCATTCTCTTTCTAAACAAAAAAGATCTTTTTGAAGATAAGATTAAAAAAAAACCTCTTTCCGTTTGCTTTCCGGAGTTTGAAGATTCGAAAAGTTGCGAGGAGGCCAAAGAATTCATTAAAAAAAAATTCGTAGAGTTAGCTCCAAAAGGAAAAACTATATATACCCACTTTACTTGTGCTACTGACATTTCAAACATTGAGTTTGTGTTTCTTTCCGTCTCTGATATCATCCTTCGGAATATCTTTGAGCAATGCCACACAGCTTGAGGGTTGTTTCCGACAGTGTGTTAATGTATTGCTATGAGGAACTGTTTAAAAGACCCCTTCCAGGTTTATTAATTAATAACTTTGTAACTATTTTTGAATTAAATAAAAGTTTATTGTAGTCTCTTATTATTTAATTTATTCAGCAGTAGCAATAATTTTTTTTTTGCAAAATATTTATAAAGTTAGCAATCTTGCATTTAAATAATTTGTTTACACTTTATTTAGGCGTGTGCATTGCAAGTATCAGCTTTTAGGGGTTATCCAGAAATATAAAGATCATTAAAGTTAAATGCTAGCCGGCAACAACCGCGAGATTAAAGTCCGCAGAGCCGATAGAAAAGAATTTTAAGAAATATAAATAAGAGAGCCATTTCTTAAAGTTAACTTGAATATAACCCTTTAAAGTTTTCCAAAAATTTGCTATAATTCACTAGTTGGCTTATATTAGGTAGCCCATTTTTAATAAATCTGTGAATAGTCTAGAAAAAGAACGAACCTAAGTCAAAACCAAGAGAATCGTAATGATAGTCACCTCCAGGTGTATTCTCGCTTTATAATAGAATTATTTTCTGTTTTTCAGGATTTTTAAAATTAAATTTAGGCTACAAAGAAAATGTCTTTATGGCAATAGAAATAAAGTTTCGTATTAACTGGGATAATAGTTACGCTACGTAATAAATTAAGTAGAATACTTTAAAGTATAGACAAGGACAGATACACTTTTAAGCTTTTCCATTCTAACCTATATGTAAAAACTAAATTTTTTTATTACCAAAAAAAAATGTTTAAGGGACGGATTTAAAAAACCAGTTTTTATCAGTAAAAAAGAAAATGTTATTTTTCTCATGCATCAAAAGGGGCAAACAAAAGCTCAAACGCCAGCTTTTTTGAAAGAGCAACTTTTCAAATTTTGGTTAACTCTGATAAACCACATGCTCATTCCACGTGGCGTATATATCATGTCATTAATATACCATATGACCACGTGTCTGCTCCACATTTTGTACCTCGTTTTTCCCCTGAAGGTATAAATACCTTTCTTCTACAGGACCACAGTTGGTCTCTCCTCCTCTCTTTCTCCATCATTGAAGGTTGACAAGTGAAGAACGGGGTTTTAGGTGAGAGACCCCTGTCTTTAAAACATATCTGATATATAATGTGTATATTTTTAGCATTAATTTACAAAACTAGAGGTAAGTTTTAAATCTATGAATTATCGGCTAATCCTAAAGTAAAAATAAAAACCAATTGGCTGATTTTACTTTAATCCCCTTTCTTACCAAAAGTAGTGACCAATAGCGCAAGTCTAGGGCATGTACCTTATTAAGATTGGTCACTGAGGATGTCAAAAAGCGGAGTATAACTCAAAAGGGTTAAGGTTTATAAGGTATCAAAATCAAAAAAAAACCAGCGCATAACTTCTGAATGTCTAAGCTACATCTTTAAGAGGGGTTTTCGTGAGCTGACTATATTCCGTTTTAGCCTACCCCGTTGCCATAATGATGGATTGGAATGATTTAATTGGGCATTTATATCATAATATATGTGAATATTAACAATTTATCATTTTTGAGTTGACATTTTAATGTTTTTATACAACATTAACTGCTTCTACTGCACTTTCAAAATAGAAATAGGTATAATAAGTCATGTGCCTTTCGGGGTTATATATAGTAACCTTCAGTGTTTGGCAATTTTATTACATAATTCCGTTTAAGGTAATGGTTGCTTCACCCTATCAGTCAAGCCCCATAACAGCGGACTTTGCACACTTTTAATAACCTACTTGTTTTTTAATCTAACAATGTTTTTGTTATCTCTTTCTCGCTTTTTTTTTGTTCTCTTTTTAAGAAAAAATGTTATTATAAATTTACTATAAGGGACATTAACGGAAGTCTTACCCTGTAAATTATGTTAAGTACTATTATCCATCCTAAGGGACTTTTTAAACAAAGAAGCATAGCTTTTGTTTAAAAATTTGGATACTTTAATAAATGACTTCACATTTTGAACTGGTGAAAACATAACGGTTCTAAAACATCTAACTTCTTTATTTTTAAAGGTAAAGGCACTAATATTTGTCGGAGATTCATAGATTAATTATTCAAAATTAAAAAGAACTCGTGTATAAAAATATGGTTTAGGTGTTAAGCTCTAATTTGAATTAAGGAATAGAAATTTAGTTGACTGGTTGGTTTTTAAGTAGGGCAGCAAAAAGGGTATTTCTAAACATAGTTTTTCCATAACGGATTGAACTTGATTTTTTTAGTAGGTAATTGAAGACCTAACCACGAAGGCTTAGTAGCGGGCATGGTATACTTTTCGTTTTTCTAGTTTCTGCTTACTTCAAAGTATTAAGACTTTTTAAATATTTATACAACCATTTCTTTCGTTTTCAGAGACTAGTAATGTCCTAGAAATAAATTCTGTTATCCCCTCTTTAATGAATTTTGAAACTTAAAAAATATTTTATAGATGACGAGGATAGATATTAATAATGAGTTAACGTATAATTTGCTTTTAAAATACGCCAATACAAGGTCAAGGCCTTCCTAATACACGAGCATAGGTTACTCATTTATGTAGCTTGTTTGTAATTCTTCCTTTATCCGAACAATTAATGAAAACTAAGGGTAAAGCTATTATACCGGGATTAAGAGTTGTCGTTGTAGCTCAGCGATAAAGAGCATTGTGTGAATTCCAGGTCATGGATTCGGTTCCCACCGACGCGACTTTCTTTTTCGGTTTTAATAGTTACATAGTTTAACCTCACCCTCATATATCCTAATACATCGCTGGTCAGGTATACCCGAACGAGCACAAGGTCTCCTAGTAATACTGCTCACTAGACCCTATGAAAACGCCAAAAATAATTAGACTTTTACGTCGGGGCACTTCACTCGAGCACCTGTTACAAGACATCTCAAACATTTTGAAATATGCCGTCCAAGACGAAAAATTGAATATATCGTACCTACAACTCGCAAAGCCAAATATTTCAACATATTTTTTATATCGTCCAGCCATTTTCTTCACTTTTAAATATCGTTTATAGGCGGAAAAGGACTCTGACTTAAGCCTTACTCAACCTTAATGTTTTTAGTGTTCTTTTAAATGCCCAGAATTTGTTTTACCATAATAAATTTATGTATTTACATAAAACAAAAGTTATCTTAAATTTTATGTGCTATGAGTAATACATTCTAGGGAAATGCCTTACGCAAAATATGGAATATAGGTTAGGGTTAGGTTAGGCTAGGTTTGAGAAACACATTTAGGCTTAACTAATATCTTATTATTTATACCTTATCACAAACGGCTATATTTTTTAAAACAGGATGCTGCAATAATAAAAATGCTTAAATAAAATTTATATTCTTTTCAAACATTAAAGAACACTTCTACCTGTTAACTGCGCATATTATCCTTCAAACTTCTTATAAAGTATATGCGACAGCAACACTGTAATATGATCTAATATAAATAAGTCACCTTGGAGAAACGCAGTGGTACTCGTTTTTTTAAGGGCATGCACGCAGTAATACTAATGAAAATCGTAAGTGCAAAGCTTCGCAGCTGATAATAAATATTTACAACTTACTTCATAGTAAAACAGAATTAATCGCTTTTAAAATATTCATAGAGATAATTTGTAGAATTGTAGCTCCTACAAAATGTTCAGGGTATACTACCACAACAACTTAAGTTTGAGGGCCAGGTAGCCCTTACAAAACTTCTAGTAGTAAAAGAAGACTCATTGTTTATTTACCCTAACGCTTGTATAATAGATAATGCGAGTACGGTTGTAGTACTTGAAATATCAATGTATAAGGTTGTCATTTCTGAACATTTTAATGCTTTTTATCATAATTCGTTTATGACCATTTACTATGTATATATGCTAACTTTAAAAATAAGTGATTAGTTTCGGACGCAATAAAATATGTCTCAAATTCATAATAGTAAGTTGTTAAACTTTGAAACTTGGAAAAATTCAGACGCTTATAATAAGGTTAAGGTTCCATAACCCTTTAACCATTACCTCTTAAGGAAGATGAATTTTTGTAACACTAGATTGTGTTTTTTGTTCAATCTGTGAATCAATCTTTGAAAGCCTGCCTCAACTGTTCAATTCAAACCAAAACTATACCTGCTGTGGAAATTATAACTGATGTGTTAGAGTTATTAAATTCTTGGACCGCCGAGATTCCCCCCGTTATTCAGGCTACTCGTTATGGTTACTTTTTATTAAGACGTTTTTCTTGTTTATACATAACTTTTTTTTTTACTAGGAAATACAGCCTTCCGCATTTGGTATGCACGTTTAAAGCAGGCAAATAACAATTTAATAAATTTTTATTATTAAGTTTTTTTACTCATAACAGTATTTGACCGTTATAGTGTTTATGATTTAAATTGTTGTTAAGCGTATAAGCTAAGATCAACTTATTAGAGAATAATTTGAAAAGCACTACTCGTTAACACAAAATTTTTTTATTTTATTTTTCAAATTAATATAGTTTGTAGAATTATTAGAAACTTATTGTCGTTGGTAGATTTTTAGCTATTAAATACGAAAAGAACTGTAGAGTAGTAAACTTTAAGTAAACTCATCCGGCAACTTATATTAATGTTTTTCCGAATCCAATTTATTTAATTTTTTTTATTAGTAAAACAGTTTATATACTGAAAACTATATAATCTACTAGAATTTTTTTTTCAATACAAGAACTTTTTTTATTACAAAGTTACATGGAAACTTTGAACATTTTATTATAGCGCTTTCAGTAATTATAATTTAATTATGTTTAGGAAGGCGGGAAGCTGCTAGCACCTTTTTTAAATGGCACTCCTGCGGAGCACGGAGAATTAGTTAATTACTTTTATAATTCGTTCGGAAGTCCCGCACGCATCGATTATGGCACGGATCTATGTCGTATTAATTTATTTACTTTGGGGCGATTCTGCTGGATGACACCACACTAAAAACTTCATTCTGACTTTATTGAGATGGCTTTATCGTTTTTCTATAGCACCCTTTCTTGTTTTTTATTTCAAAGATTAGTTAATCCCCAAAAAATTAAGTATAAAAAGTTTTAATTAATAAAGATTAACTCGTAAGAGTCAGATATAGTGCATATAAGAAAAATGAATACCGTCATAAGAGCGTTTTTTCTATTTCTTTCTTTTTATGAAGCATATATGCGTTAAAAAAATAATAATTATTAATTAATTTAAAATTATGGACAAAGGAAATTGTTATTATTAATTAAGAAAATAATTGAAAAAAGAGAGAATATATAATAATTAAGTAAACCAATTCAAGGAGGCAGCTAAAGTTTTTTAAAGAAATCGATGAAACTCGAAGGATATTATTACTTTTACGCGTTGCAGTTCACTTTCTTAATTAAGATAATAAACTATAAGTTTTTCCCGCTAAGAGCGGTAGAAGAAAATAAAGAGTCCATTTATTGTTATAAAGTATTATATAGGCTCTCAAATTCTGTTAATCCGTTTTTTTATAAGCATTATATTTAGAAGCAGTAAAAAACTATAACCAAATAGATATTTATAAGATTTTTAAATAAAGAAGTGGAAAAAAAAATTATAAATAAAACTTTAGCTATAAGCAGTTACCTTTTAGTACGATTTAGAAAAGTGGTTTTTGATTTTTTAGAATTTCTTTAATCTTTGTGGTGCTTTTAGTATTTCTCCATACCTATATATGTTAAAACTACTTAATGAAGAAAACAGTATGATCTATATTATCACCTTTTTCTCTTCGAGAGCATAGTTGTGTTATCTGTACAACTTTAAAATTTAGAATTATATAAGGGAATTTTTATACTAATATATGTTGTATTGTAAACTTTATGATTAGACAAGTGTTTTTAATTAATCAAATTGTAACTTCTTTATAATAACATAAAAAATATATAATTTTATTATTTATTAGTCATAAGTGAAATAGAACACGAATTTTTCTTTTACTTTTTAGGAACTGGTCATGAATTGTCTTTTGTTTGTTTTTTGTGTTCTCTTTACCAACTAAAGTATCTGCCTAATGAGGACCTGAAGATAATGGGACTCTTTGTTTTTAAAAAGTTTTATTATTTAATTCAACTTTATAAGAGTATTAAAAAAACAAAGCTAAACTAAAACTTTTCATAGATATCTGGGAGTGGTTCGAAATCTCCAGAAAACGTATTGCGTGGAACCGGCAGGTAGTCAGGGCGTTTGGGGATTGGACGACTTTCAGTTTTTACCATTCTTGTGGGGCAGCTCTCAAATGATTGGTGTGTTTATTTTAGCTACTTTTTATGTGGAAAAACATATATCTTTTAATAAGAAAAACCTGCTTAAGTCGTAAGTATTAGTCGTTAATATCTTATCTTTTTTTGCGTACTGCTTTATTGGTATCAAAAAATCATAGATATTGATAATTCATTGAGCACGTAAACTTTTTCATATTGCTATTTTGTGCAGCTTGTCCTCCATCAACTTTAAAATCAATATCTTCTCCTGAATTTTGCAAAAAAGAGGGGGGCTGCAATTTATTTTTAGAAGCCGGTAATTTTACTTTAATTTTTTTTTGTTTGGGGAATAATAAAATTTTATTTAAATACCCAACTGATACAAAAAGTCATTTTATTAATTTAAAAGAAATAATTTTTTTATAAAAAATTCGTTTTTTATTTATATTCTGGCCTTTTAATAGTCCAGTTAGTAATTAAATTAACACGAAAAGTGAATATTTCGGTATTTTTGTAATTTAAGTCTCGAGAGTGCTAGCGTCGATTTCTCATATTTGCCACTTTAACTTCTTTGAGACTACTTTCCCTCGCATATGTACCATTTGAACTTGTATTTGGTACTTTTGAGCTATTCGAATAAGTCACTTTGCTGAATAAGATAAATATAAAACTATTCATAATCTTCTAAGTTACTTTATTTACTTTCAAAACATGAACTGTAAAAGGTTATTAATGGAGTTTTCTTTTATTTTTTATACTATTTATTACTCTTTTAAAGCTAAAAGGAATAATATTAGTGTAGTGCTACTTGTTAAAAACAATATACGGGTATTATTATTTTTTGGTATTTATTTAGTTTAAGTTTTTAATTTCACTCTTTTTTACTTAAAATTTATTATCATGGCATTCTCCCTGTTCATCGTCTTTTTAAACTTTCAAATTATTACTATAATTATAGCAAGAATTCGAAACAACAAAACTTATGTTAATAGTAATAATAGTAGTAGTACAAAAGACACTTTCGTTACTAGAAGTTTCCTAGTTTACAACAACCTTTTACCCCCATTTCTCCGAGAGCCTGTAGCTAACACTATCCGAGCTCCTCTCTCCTTGCAAAGTTCGCCACGACTCCAATGAAAAGGCCCAGTCTGTCGTTTTATGTGTAACACAAAACTAACCCTACTTTGTAAAACTTACGCAAAATGCAACGCTGAGCTTCTGAGATAAGCATAAAGTGATTAAACTGGTCTGCGGAAAAGCTCCTTCTTAATACTATGAAATAAAAATAACCAACACTTTGAATATGTGCCACTTTCTATAAAAAACAGATAATATAAAAAACTTATAATTTTAAGGTAAATTGGTATTATTATTTAGGGAATTATTAACAAGTTCTTAATATTATTATATTACAAATATCTTTTGTTTAGGTGGCATATATCTATTATTATTTTGTATATTCTTTAACTATATACATAAAGCAAATATTTATATTATATATTTTTAATTATTCTTTTCTATTATATTTTTTCTGCTATATTTACTGTTTTTTGTAATAGTAAAACAATAAATTTACTTTGTTATATGCATTGTATTGTTGTACTAAAAAAAATTATTTAAGTTAATACTAATACTGTATCAGAATCTTCTTTATAATAACTATTTACTATGATTTATTATATATAAAAACTTCTTCCGATTTAGTTGCGTACGTGCATGCCTCCAAGTCGGGACCTTTTTTTGAGCACTCTCCCGTACTGTACGAGATCAGTCAATCAGATTCATGGGATAAAGTTAACCGAGGTTTTTTATTTGTTTATTTTCTTACAGTCAAGTTTCCCACAGAAAATTTTAACTCTATAAAATTTAAACTCCTGTTTTTAAAAAGTACATTAACAAAAAGAAGAGCATTGAATGGTGTAACCAACTGAAAATTATAAACACCAAAGCTTTTTTTTCCCCCCATGAAACTTTGTTAGACGAGTACTGGAGTATTTTAATGAATTTTAAGGCATAAGCAAAAGTTAATAAAAAAAAAAAGAAAGCACGTTGACGTAGCTTGCGACTAGTTAAATATCTTTTCGAAGAGTTTAAAAAGAATCTTACAAAAAAGGTGTTGAACATGTAAAACTATAATCTCGTGCTGGTACCGCGTGTTATATTAACTCATGTGCCACATTATTACCACATGACTACACCATTAATTTGTATAACGTGCTACTTGCTTGGTGAACTATGTGAATTAGTCACGTGGCATTGTCTACACTCCTTGAAGGCGGCGTATAAGCACTATTCCTTTAAAGGGTAATAATTAAATAATAAAAGAAGCGGTCTGCGCATAAGCCTGAGCCTAGCAAATTTATTAATAATTATAATAATTAGATCGCCCCTCTCCTTTTCCTTTGTTAATTTCGGAGATGTGGGCCGCAACATAATGTTTGTCATTTTGGTTAACACAGTTTTTCTTCGTAGAATTGCGTAGTAAAAACAAGTTGTACGTTACGGCAATAAGCTCTTTTTCTAAACTAAATTAATTTTTTTTTATCCCAGGTCTCTTCCGTATGTACAAAGATCGCGTTTTGCATCAGTTATCAATTATCCGACATATCCACTTTGGAACAATATTATCCCTTAAAAAAAATACTGAGAAAGTTTTATAGTGTATTTTTAAAAAATTTACAATTCTATCAAATTATCTATAATCTTTAAGGTTATTTCTAAACATGAGTTAAACTTTATTAAGTAAAAAACCTTACATTCACCCTAGACAAGAATTTACTACATCATAAGACAATATTTTAGACCATAACTTTTTCAAAACTAAACAAAATAGTTATTTATTAACGCTGACACCAAAATTTTTTGAAGTTACCCAGGCGAATTGGCTAAATTTTTGCTAAATCTGTTAGTATAACTCTCTCACTAGCTTAGAATATCTATCCAACGCCTTTTTGACAAAATATGTCACTCCGCCCTAATATTCAATTCATTGTCTCATGTTTGGGCAAATTTTTAAGGCACTAAACCTGATTTTACCAAACTAATCATGTTTGGCACGAGGATCACTTTTCATGGTATCAAACCTGGAAGGGTGAAGAACCCTCAGCCTGCTTTTGTGCACGTTATATAGAATTTTCAATATACAGCCGAGCAAAGTAATTAGAAACCGCGATTTTTGGCCCTATGCGAACACATTGACCCCGATTAAGGAAGTAGTCATAGTATAAGTGATGCATTAGTTTTTGAAAATGAAAAGAGAAACCAGTTTCTACCTAGACACCAGCGATAGAGTGGAAAATTAAGAATATAGGGCACCCTTGCAACGGATGACAAGCCCTATTATGGATCAGCTCCAAGTTAAATTTTTGAAAAGTGGGAGATAAAAATCCTTAGTGGTAGTATGACCGGGTTCAAAGAATTTATTATCGTTGAATATGATGACGGTGAGATTATTAACAACAAAAGGCTTGATGAGTTGAGATTTGAGGCTTATAAGCTGAACCTACCTTCCTAATATTGCAGCACTTTAAAACTCAGGATGGGCCCTTATTTGAAAGAGGAGCTAAACTTTATAAACAAAATTAATCCTTGGGATATCTAGAACCCAAATCGCGGTGCAATGAGAGATTATAGGACACGACCTGATCGTTTAGAGTAAAAAAACGCCTCAACTAATCTAGAATATGCTTTAAATGATTCTCACAGGTATGGAGGGGCTACTACATAATCATGAATCTTATGGTATCACTGGAAATTGCAGCGATATTGATGGTAACTGCTCATTACTAAAAATAAAATCAGCTTCAATTTGACCTTAAAAATGCAAGTATGAACGCTAAGTAAAAATACCAAAAGGCGATTTGAATGAAAATGATTATCGTTAAACAAGACACTGAACGGTGCGAAGCAAGCAGGGCTTTTGTAGTACTAATTAATTACAGATATATATAGAGTTAAGTTTTTAACAATCACTAGTAGAACCCTGCGTGTTTTACCCTATAACTTTAATGTATTATTGCGTTATACTTAAATAATTTAAGTATATTAATGATGTAACTAAAGCAAGAACAATGACCGCTTAGATAGGTCTTAATTATAAAAAAGTAACAGTAAACTAGGCTTTATAATGTTCGAGGACAACAATAATATAACTTTTGGCCATGAACTTTTTAAAAATATGTTCCAAAAAAATAATTTAGAACAAGCAAAGAGTTTAGGATACTCAATATGCAATAAATGACTTGATTGAAACTAAAAATATTACTTATAAAGGCCCGTTCAACGGGATTATTGCCTTATTGCAATACTTATCCCACGTTGCACGTTCTGACATTAGCTGGACGATTAACAAGTTCCCTCAGCATGTAAAATCTATTGGTTTAGTAGATTGGAAAGCTGCTAAACAAATATTAAGGTTTGTACATGGAAAGAAAACCTATAATCAAGAGGAGATGTAATCTCAAATAAACATATAAATTTACACTGACGTGAGTTTTGCCTTCAAATATATTATGAATAGCAGAGTAGTTGTAATATTGATTAATAATTGACCTGGATTATGGGAAGCATAAGATATCAGTCTTATCCTCAGCAGAAGCAGGATACATCGCACTGGCAATTTGCCTACGATTCGTCAGGCAACTTCAAGGTCTAAAAAAGGGACTGAGTCTTTCACAAGATGTTTAACTATATTAATAATACATCCGCAATTAACATGCGCCAGGACATGCAATCGAAAAACTCTAGCCAATTCAATTTAAAATATCCCCTCTTATGAGAAATTTTAGCTGAAAGGCACATCTGTATACAATACTGTCGCAGCAACGAGAGGCTGACCGACAAAAGGAAAAGATCCCAGTTCACAATTAGTAACATATTGCCATAATTAGGCAATATTTTTGTTATAATTTAGATTCCACTTATCTTTCTATATTAATCTTAATTTACATGAAGGGAGGTCGCAATTATTTTTGTCTGCGCATTTTTGCTTATGTCCTCACACTTGCGCTCCGTGTATATCCTACCCATTTAGATAAACTTGAAGGTTTTAATACCAGGAAGTAAAGGTTAATATGCCAGCCATTTAAAAGTTCAAATCTCCAACAAAACCACTCAAGGTGTTCCTAGCAACCTTTTAGAAAACTAGTAAATCTCTTATTAATTGGTTTCCCGTTCTTGTGGTTTTAGTTATAGCAATAGTGAGAGACAAACAGCTAAAAGGTAAAAGCATTAAAAAAATTATTTTGTTTTACTGCTTATTAACTCATATATGGTGTGCCAGTACATTAATTATTACTTTTATAGATTAGTTACAGTTTTATTCCCATTTATGGCCTTTTTAATTTAAAATATATCATAACATTTTACTCGCCTACCGGGCCCTTACGACTATTTACTATTGAATTCTAAAAGTTATTATTTTATTTTCGCAGAGAATTATTGTGTATATAATCCACCACCCTCTATTTAGTTTTACAATGATGTTTGTGTGTAGTGCTATCGGCTCCCAGGCGCCTTAACGTAATGTTGGGGGGGGGAGAAAATTAAGGTTATTATTGCTAGAGAGCTTACTACCATTCGTACCCATGGCTAAGGATATTGCTAGTTTATTATCCACATCCACGTTCACAATCAGTTTCCATAATGGCAGATATTACTCCGAGACGTATGCACGATTTTAAGATGATATACTCAGCCTCGGCAGAAAACAAGGTTATAAAACTGTGCCGCTTCGGTTCCCAAACTTTGGAACAGTCATCTACGCACACGAGTATCCCTGTATAACCTCCCATGTCCTTTCATGTTCATACTAAGAGGCTTAGTCTGCATCCGTGTATACAGTAATTAATGGCCATTCGTAACTTCTAGCTATTAACCTTAAGGTTCCGCCCTCGCTTAGGTATCATAGAGGCTGTTTGTTTTTGCGCCAGTGCCTTTCGTCGTAAGCTGTTAATTGTTAACTACTGTATATCAAGCCTCGCCAGCTACTAAAGTGACTCTACGATTGCATTAAAAAAAAAAAATTAGGAAAAAGTTTTAAGCTTTTAAGAGATAAGTCTCTCATTGAGTAAAGTATAGTCCTAGCATCTGTAATTCCTTATTCTTTTAGTATAATAAAAAGCATACCTTATTGAGCAAACATCCACTTTTAATGTCTTCTAAAATACTAACTCCGACGAAGAGGTTAGGTGTGACTATGTACTTATAAAATAATGAAATTGATCATTTCTCTCGATTTATTATATCATTTGTAAGAATGCGACTGCCATCTACGTTAAAAATCTCGATGCATTTAAAGTAGTAGTTCTTAATGTATAGAACACATGTCCCAGCTATAACCTTGCTTCTTTTTATTTATTTTCTTAAAAATTTAAACCATAGGTGCCCTGCTTGCAAGATCTTGCATATAGCCTAATTAATGGATAATATTTTGATTTCTATATTGTCGTAGCAAGATGGATGCCAATTGGTATTTAAATCAACATTATCACGTAAATAGAGGGGTTGAGGTATATATTGTAGGCAAACTACAGTTGAGGCAACTATGAGTTGTGTGCCATAACAACTGGCATACTCGTAGTTATTTAATAATGAAACGACTCCATCACACCTGGTATTCCAACTCACTAACTTGCGTAAAACCTCCAAAGCAGATTCTTGTCTTCAAAAGGTAGCTTCCAGATGTTTTCCTGTTTTAAAGCTAGTTAACTCTTATTTCATCGATCGGACCATTTTTAATTTTAAAAATAGGACAAGTGCCTTCTTCATTTACAATCTATCGCATTTCGTTGTCTTGCAGTACCACCGATAACATTTGTGGTGGCCACTGTGATAAATTGAAAACCACGTGTAGATCTTAATGTAAGTAGTACCAATGTCATTGTTTCCTTCAATACTCCCAATTATGGTCATTGGCGTTGTCTCATTTTACAACGACATTCCTCTCCTTAGATCGATCTATTGCAATTTTGTACCTTAATCGCTCAGTATAGTCTTCTGAAAACTTCATATTGTCGGAACTAATAATTGTTAATTACTTGCGTGCTTTCTAATACTGCATAAACCTTATGAAAACTTCTGCTTTCAACTAGTCTTCTTTTAACAAGGTCCATAATTCTGCGGAAGTTTCCACATGAATTTATAGAAGGACTTAAAAAGATTCCTTAAAATATGTTATTCTTCCTAACAGATACCTAGGATATTGTTAAAAAAAATTCTTAGGGAAACTAGTCTTCGCTTTTATTAATATAATTTATATAAGGATTTAGACTAGCGTGTTTGTTTGTATTTGTTAATGCACTATTCGTTAATGCCGTATTGAGTCACTAAAGCACAGGAGTAGGTCCATGGAGTTCCATACCAGCTTGAAATAATTATTTACTTTCTGTTTGTTCTTTGTTTGTTTCTATAAACTTCAGATCGTGCATCACATGAAATGGTTTTGTTTAAATTCGTGTACTCCATGAGCACCCATTGTGGTCTTCTTAAGCCAATGTGTCTTCGAGCTTCGGATAATACAGATATGAATTTTACCGGTGTCATTCTCTCACAATCCCTGTAATACTTCCACTCTTTCTACGAGTAGCAATTGTTTATATGGTAATTTTGATAGTGACTAATGAAAGTTGTCTATTTCGGTTGTCTATTTTCCAACGCTCTTTATTTTAGTCAAATCATTACTCTTTACCGCTATGTAGTGCACCTACACCCACAGTTTTGGTGTATTCAGTTAACCCCTAAACAAATTCCCAAGGGGGTTTCATGTCAAAAAGATGATGGATCGTTTACAACGCTAAGGTTAATACATTTGCCTCGGAGTCGAGATGTACTTATAATAGAAACAGCTTTTTTTTTTGAAAACCACCAACAATTGCAAAGTAGGGTTGGGGTATGTCAAGTCCTTTTATCCTCCCTTTAAAATTTTATGGAGCCTATATGTTACTATTCTTATGACAGAACTTCAGTTATCGGACCCTCCCCTATGAATCATTTTTAAAAATACGTGGTCTATAACCCGTTTCATAAATTAGTTTTATTTTAATTATTAACTGTCTAATTTAGAGGCTTCTTTTAGTAGGGAACTTGACAGGTAGTCATATTAGTTTTAGTTACAATAACGTTTCTGTTTTGGTCCAAGTCCTCGTGCTTATAACGTGGTAAAGATAGGTGGAAGAATAAGTTGTTGAAATAGGTTTTCAGTAGTTTGTTACTCCTCTATATATTTGTTTCTCATTTTCTGCCAGCCAATGAATTTCCTTTTTTTCTGAATAATAGTTTCGCTTGCTGTAACTTACCCAAATTTTCTGATTCTGTTTTAGTTTTTGTTTTTATATCGAGTAATTTTTTCATTTTGTCATAACCTTTAAGGTTACCGTCAAATTGAAATTCTTGAAGTGAATTCTACGACACTTTGACTTGCATTATTTTTCAAATATGCCCTACTTTTCTGCAATTATAACATTCTCTTTATTTACGTAAAAGTAATTTTTCATTATGACCACTTCTGCCCAAACTAAAGCTCTCTCTGCTTTCACATTTCTAATATGCAGTTTTCTGTTTAAGATTTTTTCCCCCAACTTGAACTCTCATTTAAATTATTCGTTGGGACTTTTGAAATCTTTACTGACTCGTTAAATTTAATTTTGTTTAGGGCATTAGTTATTCATAGACTTCGCTGAACGCGACGCTAAATCCTAATATAAGTTATTACCAAACATACTTCGTTGCTCAATTTTTTTTTAAACAGTTTCCACATTGTGTTATTCGATGCGATGATAATCGTGTCAGTTTTTGATTCAGCTGGAACGTTGCTATTAGTGGCATACATATTTTGCTTCCTATTAGGGTTATCGGTCTGGTAAAGAAGTATTGTTACATATGACTTTAATTTAAATTTCAGTAGCTCTCGCCCTAAAGCTAAGCTGAAATCGAAAAAATTTATGGTCAACTTTGCTTCTATAACAGTCAGTAGTAATTTTACTTTGTAAATCTTTTTTTCGGATTACATTTGTATTTTTTGGCTGTTGAACACACTGACAAGATAAAAAAGTTTTTATAAGATGGCTCACTACCATACCCCTATGCAAATTGTCTTCTTCTTTTGTTTTGAAGTTGGAGTTGTACAGAGTCTTAATGGTCCTTTTCTATTTAAATGCTCTTCAATATATATTCTTTATGAGAATTACTTAAGGTCTTTTGTCTTACAACTTAAGTTGCTTTATTTAAATGAAAAGGCTTCGAATTTGTAGAAGCCATGGAACTAGGTATGCATTAAAGTTAACCCTTTAATAAAGTGTAGGAAGGACAGTGGGCTAGTCCAGAGGTCCATGTTATGTAGTCTATGAGTAAAAGAGATATTTATAATTTAGCGGTTTCCTCGCTCTTTTTAGTTTTTGAAGACATTTTCTTACACTTGTTGTAAAGGATTGCTATTCCCCAACTTAGAAACTGCAATTCAATTTAACGCTCGATAGCAAGGTTAAGCGATATGCAAATTCGTATTAGTATACAGATATAAGAATATTTCTTACTTTCCGTTAAGGTATAAACATGGTCTAACAGACCAAAGAATAAATAGTCTTTATTAGTTTTTTCTAATAGCATCTAAGGCGTTCTTGGTGTTATTTTGACTTGATGTTATAGTATACCCTGAAATTATCATTTTCCCTACTTTTTGTTAGGTACACTTCCGATCAATTGAACTTTAAGTAAAACAAAAAAATGCGGTTGAAAACTTTTAAATTTTGTTAAAATTGAAGGAAATGAGTCAATTACACATAAATTTTTAAATAAAAAATATGTATATGTGATATACTAGAAACAAACTATATTTTATAATTACTTGTGAAGGGTTCATATCCGGAACGAAATCTTTCAATAAAGCCAGTTTCTCTAATAATATTTATAATTCTATATGTGAATATAATTTGAAATTATACCTTTTATTTAACATTTTAATCTATATAACCTTAAAGACTTTTATTATAACTTCTCTTTTCTTCGATTTTTACTTTCGGCATTTATTTTTATACTAATTGTTGAAAATAGCTAAGAAACCAAGTGGTAATGCTCCAGTGAGGTTTGCGTTACTTGGCAAGTGCTAATCATGTTTCAACAAGTTTATTGTTCATCATATGGTTACTATTAAGTTTTTTTAAGCTCTTGATTATCTTTTTAACGGCATCATGAACTAAACTACACCTCCTTGTCTTCACTGTCATCCTTAAGGGCCCTTTCAAAGTTTAAAAATATCAACTAACCTTTTCTAGCAATTTTATACTAACGCAATAAAAATTGGAAAAAAAAATTATTTGAAATTAAAGGTTTAAATACAAAAATTAATCAGTCTTAATAATAGTCATTTAAGAAGTTCAAAATAGTTTCGACTGGAATAACATTATTACTGGTACCAACTTTAAAAACCGTAATATACCCAAGTAATTATAACTGTGCATAAATTTAATTAGACAACATATGTGATCCCCTTAAAATATTATCGGGAAACAAAGAGGAGGGAAAAATTAGAAAACCTGAGAGACTTGGAATCTCTACGTATACCTGAACCTGCTTAAATTAATAATCGCACGTGGCCAAATTATCACAAAGGCTAGGACGGAGGAGCCCGCCTTGTCCAGCTTTATGTCCTCTTCTATACAGTTATTGAAGGTTTACTAGCCAGAAATAAAAGTATGGGTTTGTTACTTCATTTATAAGGAAATGCCCATCATTTGGCCACCTAAGTTTTGAACTCTTTTCTGCGTTCTCGCATGTTCACAGTTATGGACCAGTTGTTTTGGAAATTGTTGTTTACTTATTATTCGTTCTATTATATCTATATTTAGTTGTAAAAAACCTTTACTTGTAAGGCTCCTTCCAACTATTAAATTTTAACGAATAGTGGATTTTATATGGTTGTCATGAGATACGTCATCTGCGTTACAGAATTTTTCTTTTCTCGTTCGTGACCAGGATAGGTTGAGTAGTGCTAACTCTTGGGTCAAATTTTTCTCTTCGATTTTCTTTTTAACCAATATTAATTTAAAATCAGTTCACTTTTGATAGGGTCTTTAGGTTTTCCTAATATAATTTGTTATGTATGAATTTTTCATTGGTTAAGCCTGAGTTTGTTCTTTTAAAGGGGCACCACGTTTAGTGTTATAGCCCTTATGGGTCAGCGGGGACGATAATGCAGTGCACTTATGTAATACTCCAAGGATGCCACCAGTTGGCGAATGTGAATTGATAGCGCGGCTTACATGGCGAGCCGAGTGTGTGTGTTGTGACTGTAGCGTGTAGAGACGTAAAGTGCAAAGAGCAAGGGTGGTGAAGAGAAAGTCTTGTGGAGTTGCCCACATGTGCTTCAAAGATGCGATTCTCAAGGTAACTTTGAGCGCGTTAAAAGAAAAGTAAAAAGAGCCCCCAACTCGTGAGGCAAGCCCTTGTCTAAACTGGGGAAATCGTTTTTTAGATAGTAAGAAAGGCGCTGCCGGTTAATTTATTAAAACTGAAGGCACTGGCCGACCGTTCTGTTGGATACAGGGGCAGCTGTAGCGCTAAAAATGCTTTTTTGTTAAAGTCTAAATCACTACTCTGGCAGGGCATAGCTTGCACGGTGCAGATCTCAGATACTTCTTTAACTGCTTGGAAAGAGGCTGATAAGTCAGTGTTAAAACTGGAATCGTTGTTTTTTGGAGAATCACAAAAGTAGTCGTCCTCCACTGCAACGGGAAAGGGTCGAGTTTTACCGATCTAGTGCAACCGGGAACGGAAGTCTTCTATCTCAATAGTGCTCTTAATATTCTCTTTTATGTCGGCTGTGAAGGTTAGCGCAAACTGTCTTCCACCACCAATTCACCGTTTCGTAAAAGGATACTGGTAAAGACGCGTAATTTAAGATTCTTTGATAAACTATCAAAAGCAGACGCGGCTCTTAACACCTACCACAGGTGAATAAACTTTTTTTCCTACCGCTGGCTCCGGTGTAGCCACTTAAGCGCTAATTGTCCCGAGAGTAAGACCCCCGACAAAAGCCGTCGACGCACGTAGATAAGGAAATTTTATTTGTAAGGTAGATGGTTAAAGCTGTACGCGACTTTACGAGTCCTCGTAGCGTTGTGGTACGCCCTGATCCCAGCGCTTTCGAATTTAGCAGAGTTTAGTAGGGCCGAGATCGTCGGTAGCGCAGAGTCTGTCCGGAGAAACTCGGAAAATATAGTCTTGTTATTAAGAACCTGTTGAACGTCTTTGGTGAGTCCTTTTTCGTAACCCGGCCAGAAATGACTAGCAGATTGTTTAACAAAAGTTCAAAAAAACCGCAACTGCCGTCGGAAAATGCATGTCAAAAAGAATGACATCTAGCAGTCTGAGCTCAAATCTTCGCCACGAGCGGGGACCTTACGAAGCGCAGTCAGCGATCATCGGTTTTAGTTTCGAGGATTGGCCATTTGAGCTTTTAACAAACTACATAAAACCGCTGAGGGGCTGTTAATTTAGAAAGCTTCTCAAATTTGTTTTAAAGGTTTGCTGGGGGATATAGTGTTGGGCTCCTGACCAAGCTAGGGAAAGAAAGGGGCCGTACAGGGATTTACCTCTACAGAGCGGGTAGGTTTTTCGTGCTAATTCTATTAATTTTATTATCCATAATATTGCACTTTCACCACTCTGCTAGTTCTTTACATAAAAACTTAAAATTAATTGCGACGACAAAGGGAATGAAATCAAAAAATTTTTGCATGGATATTACAGGTGTTGATTATAACTCAAAATACAAAGAACTATAATTATTTTTCTGATTATCTCTTAAACAATTGTTTTACTTACAGCTTACTTTTGCCTTAGAGGTATGCTTGTTGGTACAGTGTACGGAGTGTGTGTTTGGTCCTTTGACTCGCTTCCCTCCGGCGTAGTACACTTTATTAAAACGAGTTATGTAATCCTACAGTTAAATCTCTAAAGTTAATTCCACTAGAGAAGTGCATCAGTTTTACTGGCTCTCTCTAGACGAGTTATGAGGAGTTCCTTATGGTTTGCAGGTTTCATGGGAGGTTTTGCTACTCTAACTTGCATGGTAGAAAGAATAAGAAACAAGAAGGACGCTCTTAACGCATCGATAGCTGGCTTTTGTATGGGTAACTTTATAACTCCTGGACCTGTTGTGTTCGTGTTTAACGTAAACTTACGTAGGTGCCCTCGTAGCCTTCCATACAAGAAATCTTACAGCTATTACAGCTTCAGGCAGCTTAGTTAGCTTGGCTGCCTACAACTTCCACAACTCTCACGACCCCTTTTTGTAGTAAATAATAATAAAGCATCATTATAATCTACAGTTGCTTATTAATGTAAACATAATTTAGATAACTTTAACTGCGGCCCTCTGCACAGTTTTTTTATTCACGATCTCCTATTTTCAAAAATTATGTAAATAGAACTAGAATGTAAAATATTTTATAAAGCATCTGCTCAGTCTCCGTCAAGTTTTATTTACAAATGATAAACCATTTACTACAACACAACCTCTTTATTTTCTCATTTATCTATACAAACCTTTTCAAAACTCAAAAGTGAGCTGTTGAAGTTAAAATTATATAGTCTTGTAGTCAAAGAAATATAGAATATCAAAAAACATAAGATACTGCTTTATAAAAAAAACGTGTATATTTTTTTAATACTTTTTGGCCTTCCTTTAAATTCTAGTTATGTAATAAATTTTTAATATATTGGATGGACTTGCGCAAAGAAATTTAGAGATGTACTAAATGGGCATTACTACGAAAAGTCAAGCCACCAATGAGTTGGCCGCTTCTGAATTTTGAAAGCACTACGAATTTTTCGTTAAAATTGATTTATAAAGTAAAGAACAGTTTTTTTGTGTTTATTAAAACTTAAGGGTAAAACAAGAATTCCAACCTACGTTTAATGTTTTTACCAAGAAAAGGGCCGAACTAGATCTGGTAAAGATGAAATATAGTTGACCTTTTTATCCAACAAGAAGTATAAATTGGTATGTGCATAACTTAAAAAGAAGTAAAAATGTATCATCCATATAGTAATACTGATATTCATTTAAAAGATTGACGTTTATGGAATAAGGTGCTTAAAAGTAAACAAAAATTTTAAACTAATAAAGGCCTCTAAGCACAAAGCTGAATATTAAAAGTAGAAAGTATTAGCTAACAAAGTATATCACTAAACTAAATTTTTTTTTTATACAATTCCAGTAGCTAATGGCAAGGTACTAAATTATACTAAAAAAAAATCCTTTTTAATATAAGAAGTAAAATACTTAGGAAGATAAACAGTAAACCGAATTCGCTCTACGCTTAGAATTCTTCTTCTCCGCCGAAGCTGCTTGCAATTTTTTGAAGCTATGCCCTCTATTTTTACGGGTGGCTTACCCATTTAATAAAACTAAAACTAAAGATATCATCTCTTCAATAAAGCAAGTAGGTTCAAAAAAATCCGGTACAAAGTAAAAGTACAGTACAATACGCGGAGAGGGGCCACGATCAAAGACATGCCACCAAATACTATTTCAAAAGAAATAGGTTATTGCCATTCTTTCGGCTAACGTCTTTAATTCCATCCCTCCTACACATCCTACTCAAACGATCCGATTTCTACCTCAGCGAACCATCTCAACTTTAAAAGTTACTAAACTATTTCCTTTTTAATTGGTAGAAAACTTAATAGGTTTTAACTCATGCAAGGCAATGTAATTGATTTTCTTTAGAATTATGTTTTTAAGTAAAAAACCAATAAACGCAAAGGACTTTACTTTTGACAAAATGTTCAACTTTATTTTTGAAATTTAAACTATATTCGAACAAATTTGTATTTGTTAATTATAGTAATTCATTCTTAATTCTTCCATCTTTTAAATCATTGGTTACAGCAAATCCTTTTATAACGGTCGACCTTCCTCAAGGTAAATGGCATGTACTTTAATATTTTCCTTTAAACTAAAAAAAGCTACCACACTTAAACTTAAAATTGCCAAAAGTCCTAACCAACTATAAATAGCCCACCTAAGTAAAAATTAAGTCGTTAAAGATATATTGACGAGAAAGTAAGTTAAATTAGTATTTGTCTTCTGAACCTGCTGTGCAAGCTTGTATTACATATAATTTAACAATAGAGAAATACGTCATTGAGAGAAATTTAATAAGTTTTCGATGTAGTTCGTTGTTTATAACTAGGAAAAGTTTTAAGGCTTGTACCACTTTACAGCAATTAATCAAGCACGAGCCAAAGGGTGTGACAAGTGTATTAGGTAAGGGATTCTGCACCACTTGCAGTCTTAAAGTTGGTCCACCATGCCATAGCTAGTAAGTGGCTATAAGGTACAGTCACGGCTTTCTGTCGTTGCAGTGGATTTTTATCACGTCTTCCCTCCCCTTAGGTCCCCCGTTTCAATTATTATATTAGAATTTAACGAGTTTAAAACCATTAGAATTTCAATACATTTTATAAAAAAGAATTTACTAAATATCCAAGCAACATTGATTTATGAACCAAACTAGATATTTTAGTATATCAAAAGGTATATCGGATATTCTAATTATCTCTGTTTCTTTATTTTGTTTGTAACACTATTTCTTTTATGAATGATTCTATTTTTAAATATTTACATTTTTTTTCTGTTTTTTTTATAATTCTAATAGAATTCCCACCACGTTAAAAAGCGGGCACCCCGGGCGGGGCAGGAAATCATTCGTTAAGCTATCAAATTCTACCTTACACTTTTTTGTTGGTGGGACACTTGAAGAGTACTAATATAAGCACCGAATTACTTATAGGACAGGGCATAGTGTGCTTGTGAGGGGAAAAAAAGGTATGTTGCAATTTTATAAAAGTAAAGTCAGCTTTTATGCAATTTAAAATAATTAATGTTTAAACCCCCTTTGACTTTAGCAGTAATAAACTAACTGGTACGCGTCAAAAAAGTTTGTCGTTAATAATATTGCCGTTGTACTTCACAACTGTGCACCAAGTTACCTTGTGAATTCCGTTGTTATGGCCTACCGACTCAAGGCTTTGTTTTGAAGAAATTATATAGGAAGTATAAGCGAAACCAAGTTTTAAGCTCATTAAGATATTTTTTTGCAAGTATGCTGTAAAAGAGAAATCAATTAGAACTAAAGTATTATGCCAAGGCAGCAGAAATTTAGATAAGATTTTAGTGCTTTCTGCCAATTATAATTTGCAACATAACCAACAAAAATATTTTTATGGACGGCCAAACTTACTCTATAACTCAAGTATGCATACTTGTACTTACGCAAATTTTACACGGTTTTATTTGAAATTTTGCTGTATTATTATAAATCTAAATATATTATAATAGCTTGTTCTTCTACTTGCCTAAACAAAGCCGAATTAGTAAAAGCTGAGACCCTTTAGCTACTTATATAATAACTGACCGCCCTTCTGTATTAGTGCTTTTTTAGGGAACTTTAAGTTATAGGTAGAGTTATATAATAAAAACAAAATTGTGATTACCACTTAACTCCTTAAAGTCTTTCACTACTAAAAATAAATTCCATTACAGTAGTACAAAGATGAATAGGCTCAATTTTAAGCTAAACTTTACTATTAAAAAGATGATTACTATTATCTGCTAGAACACTAGTAGAATTCTTCTTAAAGACACTGCTAGTTTCGACTGTTGCTTACTCACTAACTTAATACTTCTAGTAAAAAAAACCTTTGCAAAAAATTTACTTTTATGACTTTTTTAAATGCATTACTGTAGAAACTTAAGTTAACTTAATGGTAAAATCTTATATTATTTTTTTAGTACAATATGAGAAATAAAAAATCGATATTAGAAAATAAAAAAAACAGTGTGTTCTAAAAAATCAAAATAATAGAGTGTTTCTAAAAAAAATGAGAATAAAAATGCCATCCAATTATTAGCTATGCACAATTGGAAATCATTTATTTCGTATATAAGTTTTATGTATTGTGCATTTTGAGATTTTTTTTTAAGTAAAGTTGATGTAATTTGACAAGTTTTTTTCTTTGTGCACCAGAAATAAGATTTCCACAAGGATCGCTCAAAGGGATTCCGTCGTCATCAAATTTCCAGCCCGCAAACTTTGCATCGCTAGTAAATAACTCTTTAGGATCGACGGCGGGTTTTATAATAGTTTCTTTCTGAGACGACTGAATGTCGATTATAAATCTGCAACGTACAATTTTCTAATTAAAAAAATCACTTTTTCGAGTTTTTTCTCGACTGTTTTTGCTTTCCGCCTTCGAATGTCTTCTTCGTCCATTAACTGTCCAAAATATTATATAAAGTTTAAAAATAATCTTAATTTAAATTTACTTTTACTACTGGAAGTTCCGTATTAAACTTATCTTCTATACGAACCCCTGGATAAATTAATATTTTTAATTAATTTATTTGCTTCCTATATGCTATAAAACCAATTTCAGGAAGAATTCGGTCTCTGAGAACACCGCAAAGTTCTAATAACTCCAGATCTTTTAGAAATTAACCAGATTAAAGAAATCATAGAGACTAAAAAAAATAATAGGCAAAACCCTTTGGAGAACGAGTCAAAGCAATTTGTCTAACTCGAGCTCGAAAGTCGGCAAGTGCAGAGATGTACGGGAAGATCATCGCTTCTTTCTGATTTGGAATTCAAAATCTTTAACCCTTTAAAAAAAATAAAACCAATACGTCAAGCGAGCAGTCTTGGGAAGGAAATCCAAAAGACTTTTCGGTTTCAATTAAACCAAAAATCTTTTTTAAAATAAAATTCAAATAAAAAATAAAAATAAACATCATAATAACTTTGAAAACAAAAGTCACAAACTGGACAGATTTCTCTACAACGGACTTCACTATTTGCTTGCTTTTTGTCGACTCCGTCTAGTCAAAAAGTAACTTGTATACTTTTGCCGGTAAGAAAATAACTTAACACCTGCAACAAGTAAACATTTGTATCCTTTACGAGCATCGCCAATGCTTTCAGGGCTGCTGGTGTATCGATATTCCGGCAGAGCGCCTCATCAACGGCATCTTGAACCAAAAATAGTCTTAAAAGGAAAAATATTAAAACTTAATTACTTTCCAAAAAATATTTATAGAAAGAACTTTTTAAGAAAAGTTTTTTCAATGGCACGCAACTTCAGCTGGGAACTTTCACGGCGCAGAGCACAGCGGATATTGAGAAAAAACTCCTGCAAACAGGCCATTAATAAACGCTTTGAATTTAATCATTAATAACTGTGAATTGTGTACCGAATAGAATTGTTCGCACTGAACGGCCTGGTGGATAGTCTCGACGCCAAAGTCCAGAGAAGATCCCCAGCGGTGCAGCAAAAAGAGAAATCGAAGCTGTCTTGCAGTGTAAAGCGAAAGACACTCCTGCACGTGTCGTGCGTTTCCAGGGAAAAAAGAAATAAAAAAAATAATATTGATACTAATAAACTTTTTTTAATAGAATAATAAAAAACATATAATAATTTTTTTCTACAGGGAAGCCACTCACTTTAATGGTGGTAAAATTCTTTAACGACTTCGCCATTTTCAAGCCCTCAATATTCAGATGGCCAGCATGGAGAAAAAAGCGCACCCATTGGTCAGTCGCGTGAAAGGCTTCCGACTGCGCCAGTTCGTTGGCGTGGTGTGGAAACTTGAGATCGAAACCTCCGCAGTGGATATCGATGATTCCGGGAAGAACAGAGCTGTAGAAAAAAATATAAGAAAAAAAAGAAAAAAAAAGAAAGCAGACTTTACCTGGCCATAGCAGAACACTCGATGTGCCATCCCGGCCGGCCCCGTCCCCAGGGAGACGGCCACTCGGGCTCTCCCGGCTTCGACGCCTTCCATAAGGCAAAGTCACGGGCGGTCCGCTTTTCGCTGGCGGATGCTGTCAGTGCTCCTGCAGCAAAAATAATGATTGCTTCACTGGAATAACAAAAGCAAACCTTCTGCTTCTTTAAGTTCCTTTAGTTGCTCGTTAAGATCGGTAAAGGAACTCAGTTTGGGGTACGTGTGGAGATCCGAAGAGGTGAAGGCGTGAACGTCAAAGTATACAGATCCGTTCGACTCGTAACTATATAAAAAATTAAAATAAAATAATTAAAGAAGGTTAAATTTTAGAAGCGATTTCATGTAATACGCAAAGCCATTTTCCATAATCTTCTGTATAAACTCTACAATTTCTTCAACGTATTCACTGACCCGCGTGACAGCGTCGGGAGGAAGCACCTTTAGAGAACAATATAGTAGATAATATGTATAATGTTTAGCGAAAGGTAGTAGTACGTGTAGCCTTTGCATATCTTCAAAAAAATCTTTTTCCCAAAATTGCGACAAGCGATCGAAAATCGTGTGATCTCGAACTTCAGAGCCCAACTGCAACCAAGTGAGGAATGAAATGTAAAATAATAAAAATAACTCTAAATCAAAAACATTTTTATCCAAAAGTTCCGACAACGGCTCTTTTGCGCTATTGAGTATTGTTTGAATATCATCCTCATGGAAAGAAAACGACCAATAATTTCATATAATAGTAAAAAAAGGTAAATTCTTACACTTTCCTTAAGAATTCGTGCAACACTTTCAATACAAGGTCGAGTTAAATTAGCTTTTAAGTGATCCGTTTCTTTTTCTAACTTCTCTTTATAAAGAAGCAAAGCACTCTCAACTTCGCGCTTTAACTATAACAAAACTACACAATGAAGAATTAAAAATATAAACATAAATATATTTATGTACACTGCTAATATCTTCACAATGTTTAGAATATTCATCAAACAAAAAATTCTTTCTTGCCCGAAGAATTATCTAATTTTAAAATTAATCACTATTAGAAGTAGAATTATATAATTAATTAAACCTTATCTTCGATGTCTGTAATATTCATAACATACATAATCTGATACCCAAAGTAAGAGATCATGACTCTCCGAATAATGTCAAAAGTAACATAAGTGCGAGCGTGACCTAAATGAGAAGCATCGTATACAGTTGGCCCGCAAATATACCAAGTGACTACGTTGCTCTGTTGAGGAACAAAAAACTCCTGCAATAATAAAGTACGGCTAGTAAAAATAGAAAGTAAAAAAAACTAAAAAAAAGCAAACAAAATCGTTGGTAATCGAGTTATAGAGCTGGAGTCTTCGAAAATTCATGTCAAAAACTCTTCACCTATAATAAAAACTTTATGAATGTAACGGAAGAATTTATAGAAAATTAAAAAAAAAAATTAGTTGTTCAATGGTATATCATTATAAACTTTAATAACAAATTTACTTAAAAATAAAATAATAAAATTAATAAAGCTAATAGCATAGAAAGTTAAATAATACAATCCATACCAAATTTCCACTATGTCGTTAATAAACTTTAATAGAATGAATGACTAATAAACTTATTAAGACCATGATTTACACGTGCCCTATCTTGGTATTTGGTTCGAGTCCAATAAAAGTGCAGTGTTATACTTTGCTAACGATTAAAGAGACGAGTCGTATATATTCACTTACAACAAACATTAATATTTACTTTGGTCTTTTATAAACTTACTTAAAAAGATAACTTTTTTTTAGTTAGTTTTTTGAAAAGGAAGTCTAGATCTTATAATAGAGTTGTATTTTGAGGATGGAAAAAAAGTACTATTAAAAGGTTCTAAATATTCAATTATAATTTGTGGTTGATATCATAGAGCTTAGCCACCATATTATAAATTTACGCTTCTAGTAAAGTGCAATAAACCCGTTATAAGGCTACACAGCTTGACAAATATATTACACGGCTTACTAAAGACCTAAATAGACTAGCCTCTCATGGTGACTTTAACTGCAAACTTGCTGCTTAAAACAGTCTATAACCCAGACGGTAAGAAAAGTACGCAGACCAACACAATCTTTGAGTGCTGTTATTTCAACTTTCGATACACATGACATAACGAGAATTCGGACTTCCTCGACTTAGACGTTTTACGAGACAGTCACCAGTGGGTATGGATCGCTGAGCTAAAGGAGCTCTCACTGGGCCACCAGCCCTTCCTACTAGAGTTAGGCAAACGCAAGACCACACCAAAACTCTGGGTACAGTCATTTACTGACCGAAAAAAACTTACAGCTGCGGTTAAAACATCGCTTTCCCCCGCTCCATCTCCTACTCCGACTTCTTTCCTATATGAAGACGAGGTTAATAGTTTTAAGGGCACTTAGACAGTTACTCATGCTGCCTTGAAAACAGGCAGCAAAGTTGCGTATCGCCGTAGTGGTCGTCCACAGGATTATATAATAAACCTGAGTTGTCAACGCCGCCGATTAATACGCATGGTCGCTACTCTACAAGAAGGACAAACTGGTGCTTAGCCGTCTCCACAAACACATTAACAAAAGAGCTGATCGCTTTCCAAAATAGGCGTTGGCAGGCGAAACGACAGTACGTGTCTGTAGCCGCTAGACGACCATCTTTTTGACGCTTGTTAAACGATTTTAAAATCGATGCCCCACCTTACCTCCGTCATTCAAAAAAGGTGTAATAGCGACTGAAGAAAGGAAGACAAGGCGGCACTCTTTGCCGACCATCTAGCTGCACAGTGCTTGCTTCCACCTTGGGAAGACCCCTTAACCTTAGACGAATGGACTTATTAAACTTAGCACAGCTGATGAAATCGTTGTTATAATCCTTCACTTCGCGAATGAAAGCAGCCGCCTCGAAGGCATTATCAACAAAATGCTAAAAAAGTTGACACCTGTGGTGATTAACCTCCTTTTCTGATTTGCAATTATGTAGTGTCGCTTTGCTCCTTCCCTACATGTGTAAAATAGCCACTATTGTGAAGCTACCCAAGACTTCGCGTGTTTCACCAGACCCCAGAAAATATTATCCAATTAGTCTAGTTTTAGCAGCTATCAAAAATGTGGAGACTGTTCTATTACGCCCATTGAGAGAATTTGTAAATACACATGAAACGTAACTTAAATTCCATAATACATGCATTTTTAAGAGGTCACTTGACGACAGAACAACTTTCGTGCTCTGTTGAGTGGTCGCCTCGAACTTTTAATTTTAAGAAATTCACAGTCGTCATCTATCTCAACATCAAAAAAACCTTTGACCGTGTAGGGCATCAGGGTCTTCTAAGTAAAATACACCTATTTTTTTAATATATAGGTACTCCGCTAGCCTTCTTGAATTTACTAGCATCCTTTCTGGGCGAAATGCACCTAGATGAAAATCGAACTGCTCTGTCGTCATATAGTTGCTTAACAGTTAGTGTGCCGCAAAGCTCACTGTTCTTACCCTTGCTTTTCGCGCTATACATGCGAGACAATCCACTCCCTACCAATCTCACACTCGCGTTGCACTCCACACTGATGAAAGTGCTCCTTACGCCTCCTCAGGGGTCCTCATTATTTTGGCAAGACCTACAATGATACTAAAAAAAAGGCTTGTCAACTGGGGTCGGTAGTGAGGAGCCACCATTAATGCAGAAAAAGCAAAGCAATTCTTCTTATAAGAAAATGCACTGCGCTTTCCTCGCTCTCTAATTCTCCAAGGTGTTAAGATCCTGTGGGGGTCTCTTCGAGGCGACTAACTTGGTGGTAACGCGTAGAATTCGTTGTGGTTTAAGTCCAAGTCGCAATCCAGTTTCTCAACCCCCTACCATGTGCTAAATACATAATGTCCCTAAGCAATAAACTGTGCTTTTCAAAAGTGCGGGTCTCCCCCTCTGTTATTTGGACTTTCTAAAAACCCTCGACCATTTCACTCCTGCAGACTCAACAAACAAAACGCTTGCGGCTAATGATCGGTGCATCCTCGTGCGCATTGGCACGACACACGCCACACGACGACTCGATGACTTTTTTCAAAAGGCCGCTGAGTGCAAAATGCTTTTAGAATTCGAGAACTTACCCACTTTGTGATCTAATATATAGTTGACCGGAGTTGACCTAAGATATTTGAAAATATATGTGTACGGTTTTTAAGACTAGTTTTCTCAGTTTTACAGTATTTTGGTTGAAATATAGAAAGTGTCAGCTAGATTCCAATAAACACCTTGTTAAGGGGTAAACATTTGTTAAAGTCAACTCTTTAATAAGATTAAAGGGAATGAGAACTTTACAAGTAAAATAACATCTATAGTAGGGAATTTTAGGAACATCTCACTGGAACTCTGCTGTTAAATGAGTAGCGTTTAAATCATTAAGCGATAAGCCCTTCTAATTATAACTTGAGCTTAATGCTCCCAATGCATATTCTATAAAAAACCTTTAATACAAAAAAGGGCAACAAACCCTGTGTTTTTTTGAGGAGCAAAATTCTGTCGTCTCAAGATATTGACGTCTACTTTTGAAAGGGGTAAGAATTAATATCTGAAGTAAACAAAACTTGTTAGTGACAAATTCTGGAACCATTAAAAAGTAAGTCGGGGCTACTCCTTATACTGAAGAAGATTTACGAGCTCAGGCGTTAACCACTGATGAGGTTCTCGCTCACCGAAAACGTTGTTCCACGTGCGCGAGCGTGTGTAGAGCTCTCCGGCTTAGGTTAACTTCAAAATGCGTAACTTGTTTTAACAATCGAGCATTTCATTTGTGTTTCGTAATTTCCATTCACAAGAGCTCTTAAATCTGCACAAAGAGTTTGTGAGACAAATATTTGGCCACTTTGAAACATGGATTAACCTATTTTTATATATTCAGGAAAAACTCTTCGGCTTTGGAGAAACCCAAGGTTGTATAAAGAGAAAGTAACAGTATCCGGAGTCATCACCTAAGAAGCACGAGATGTATATCAATATTGCCTACTCTTAGTTCTTAGTTCAATTTGAGCTAAACACAAAAGGGAATGCAAAAATATTACCAGTGACACTTTAAACCGACTAGAAGAGATATGAAATAGAAAAGATCAAACATTAAATAATCTGACCAGGATAATTTAATTTGAAATGGTATACTAAACTGTAGGACTGTTGCAATTAAGGACTAGCGGGAAAGGATGTTTCTTCCTTCTAGCGTTCTCTAACAGGGCGCTATCCTGATTTAAAGGTGTCTCACCTACAGTGTAACGGAATATACATTCTGTAAAAGAAGCTAGAATAAAATTAGCCTTTAGAGAAATTCATAAGCCAGCAAAATCACTTTTGACGCAGACAATATCGATGCTTTAGTTAGGGATCTCAACGAAGTTCACAATATAAAAACCGGTTAAAAAAAAGTTAAACAATTGCATAAAACTGTCAAGGCTTTGTTATAAAACGACGGTGCCAGGCCGTTACGGTCACTAAAGAAGGTGAAGATTACTGTTTTTACTTAACCGTTACGAGTAAAAAGCAATAATGAACTCGAACCCGAAGTCTTTAGTTACGCAAAAGCGACTAGAAGTCACCGGTCGAACAAAAGGCCGAAAAAAAGATCGAAAGTCACTAATGAAGGTCTTACTGGAAAAAAACAGAAAAGAATGAAAGAAACTGAAAGCCCTTATTTATTTTTTTATATATAGCGCTGGCTTATTACAGGCGTAATTCATATTTAATTGCTGCTTATTCTACTTCCCTCTTTTTAATTGAGGGTGTGGAAGCTTCGAATTTATTAATATAATTCTAACGCTAACACCTGAAGCACTTATCATCACAGCTAAAATAATAACAACGATATCGCATGTTGAAGCTAAGTTTTACTACTTTATATATATAAAATTTATTAAATAAGATAAAGTATAATCGTAGTCAAGGACTCCCTAATAGATCCAAGGGAAGTTTTTGCCGCGAGTACTTGGTGTACTAAACGGGAGTCGCTTTGAAGAATCTGTATAATTAGTTTGTTATGGTGACTCTTAGCCCTAGTAAGTTAGTTTCGTGAAATTTTATATATTTTATATAGGTTCAAGGTGTTACACTCTATGTAGTTGGCTGTTGCGCGCAAACCAAGGGCCTCCACTATATTACTTAATATGGAATTTTGTAATACTTGTGGATGAATATGTTTACAAGGAGTAGGCGCTGGCTATAGAGACAGAGACCAGTAGCGAGAGCATTACCAATTTGTATACCGTTCGTGTTTAAGTGAAAGAGATCATGGAAAGAAGTTTTCTAATAGGCTTATTTACCCCTAGAACGAAATCTTTATTAAACAGTATTAAATAATTTGTAAAAACATATTTTTTTGATTCTTTTTATTTTGATAATCTCTAGTTAATAGCTTTTGCACACATTCTTCTAACTATTTATTGTAGCCGAAATTTACTAGTTAAGAGGAACAAACCATAAACTTGAGTATAACTGAGTTTACAAGTAAATTTTGGTAAGAAAGACTTTAAAATTTTTATAAGAATGGGTTTTTCTTTTACTTGAAGATAAGTTCAAGCAAAGGCCTTTTGGAGTGAAGTGTGCAGGGTTAGTGGAAAAGTAGGCGAGCGAGTAACGATCGACGCTGGTGTGAGGACGAACCCAATGACAGAAGCGGCCTAAAAAAAATTAAAATATTTAAAAAAGTTCAGAACGTACAAAATTCTACGAGACCGTCAAAGCAGACAACTTTGAAGCGAGTGTCATTAATGTAAATGGATCTTTTATTTTCGCTCAAATTTGCTTGCTCTTTTACGGATCCGAAGCAAAATCCAGCGGCAGGAGAGGACTTTCAATCGAGATTGTATGCTCTTCTAAGCACAACTGACCTGGCAAAAGCGGAAAACGCGTGATTTGTGAAAAAAAAGTTTTTTTTATAAAAAATACCGGAGACCATTTGGATAATTCCCTAAGGAAAACACGTACCGGAAAGTGGCGTCCCGCTCATCCGTGTGGCGAGCCCACAAAGTTTTTGGTAAGCGCCAGATGGGTGTACTATACATAAACTTAGTACTGATCAAAGCGGAGCTACTTAAATTAAATATGTTAAAATAAAACTTCGATGGTCGGAACAATTTCTTTAATAAATGCCTGCGCCAAAATTTTTAATCTATATAAAAATTATAATTGCGTAATAAACTTTGACGGTGGTTAGACTTGACTGAAAAATAAAAATTAAGTTTTAATTATATATTAAATTTATTATCTTTTTTAAAGTCAAACCGCAATAAAGTATACCTCCTCCAAGCATCACCTTCATATAATTTATTAGCGTTAAGCACAACATATCCATCACCAATAATCCAATTAAAGAAAAGGATGTACAAGGGAAAAAGTAATTGCCGATGTTTTCATATAAAAAACTTTTTCCTTAAAAGTTTTGAGGGTCAACTAAAAATAATCAGCTACTTCAGTAACTCAATTAATCTAGAAATTTTCCCAGTCAAGGCGCCAGCGAAGTATAATGTAGCGCAATTTACAAGGGGTTGTTCCTATGAAGAGGAAGCCCTTCACAAGGAAAGTAACAAGTCGACGAGGAAGCTACGCAAGGTGAAATTAAAATTAAAAGTAAAATAATTTATATAAATAAAAAAATTTAACAAAATTAAATTAGCGTTAAAAAATATTGAATTGACTTTTTAAGAAAACGAACAGATTCGTAGAACTCAGCCAGCTGCTCTCGGAAAGGTACGCTCAGCAAAGGTCCCACCCGATGTGAAAGTAGACGTGCTTGAATTAACGAATCACTTAGAGGATAAAGTTGAGCCAAAGTCGAAGGATCGCTGGAATTTATTAAAAAAGTTTAACAAAAAAAAAAGAAATTAAAAAAATTAAAAGGATCCACGAATCATCCGAACGAAAGCCGGCGGGAACTAGAAAGAGTGATTTCATTGGAGCAGAAACAACTCTTGCAGGTTCGTTGATATTGTGTAAATAAAAATTTCAACTTATTTAACTTCAATTACTTTTTATAAAAAAATACTTAAACACTTTATATATTCTAAGTTAATCTTTGTGAAAATAATAAAATGTACAGCAGAAACCTCAACGTGAAGGTTTCATCTACAACAACGCCGTTTAAAAAGATTTGAGGCCTCTAAATATTATTAAAAATGAGGAAATTGTAAAATCTTTAAAAAAAGTATTTTATAATACTTTTGATTCCTGTGGGCTTTCAAAAGTAAGAATTGCGTAGCGAAACCAGGAATTTCCTAAATACAACAGTTATTATAATTATTTAATAAATGGTAAAAAGTACTTCTAGTAAAGCCAGCTTTAAAAGGCTGCTGTCGCACTATAGAGTTATCTTGACTTTGCTTTATGTTCCCACGATAACCTTAACAAAATAAATACAGGCAAAAGACTAATTTCAAATGAAAAAACTTTTAACGAACTTAAATGAAATAAAAGGAGGCTAATTTGTGTGAAATTTTTATAGTTTTTGAAGACTATATAAAAATCTTAAAACCTTTTTTGTTTAAGTATCTAATGTAGGGTTTAATAAAAAATTCTCCAGAAGGCTAAGCCTTAAAATAGCTTATCTAAAACCTGTTTATTAATTAATATCAATTTTTAAATTGAAAAATATTTAAAAGGTTTTAACAGTAACTTCATATGTGTAAAATAGTAAAAACTTGTACATATATATTATTAGTAGATACAAAATAAACTTGTTAAAACTTTATTATAATTAAAACCTTAACACTTGCATATTTGGGTGGAATATCACCTAACAAAGGTTCATAGTCTTCATTGTCTTTCATACTTGTAACAAAACTTTTACGAAAAAGACGGGAAACTTATAAACTTCTTTTAAGTTCAATATTAATGTTATGGGATCCTTGATCACGGAAACTTACACAATATAATAAGTTTAGTTCTTTCAGTAGTGGGGATCTACTGAGAATAGCTCACTACTTGTACTTCAAGCAAACTCACTTTGCCACGTTACAAAAAGTTTAAAAAGTTAAGTGTGAGAACAGTACCAACACTCTTTTACTCGCTCTCTTGGGTCTTTCCTTTTAAAATAAAAAGTTTATATACATATTACCGTTAAATTTAGATTAAAAGCCTCAATATATCAAACGTTTAAATATTGAGGGAAAATTAGATCTGTCGCTAGCGGAGTTCTCGTAACTATCTAATGTACAGGCACAGGCTTAATAAAAAAAAGATTTAAGGAGACTGCCTAAAACAATGACAGTATTTGAAAAATACGTCGCAGATAATAAATAGTTACGTTATTTTTTGGTAGTGAGAAGTATTCTGTAGACTAAAAATTTCTTGACATCCTGTTGAACAACGAGAGTGAATTTTATTACTAACAGCAACCGGTAAAGCCTATGTGTAGTAACTAACATGTAAAGTAAGGTTTTAGCTTATCGCTTGATGTCAGACAACTTTACTATTATAACCAAGGTTTTATTTTAAGGGGTATTTAAAACTTAAAAAATTTAAAAAGTCCTCATACTAGAAAGAGAATTGTGCAAGCTAACCTCTTACCTAAGCAGGAAGGTACAATAACGCAGTGCTAATTCTTAAAATATTACAACTTTTAAAAGGTTTGACAAGCAATTTCCTGTACATGAACAAAAAGATTTTGAAATCGTGTAAATATGTATACTTCAAAATCGTTTATATATTAAACATATAAACACACTTCTCTCATCTACCACGTAGACCTTGATGCTAATAAATAAAAATATATTGTAAGCCATAAAGTCACTATCTTTTAAAAATTGTGGAGTTTGTGTAGTCAACATGCCCTATAAAGTTTTTATCAGTTAGGAAATGTAAGAAAAATCAATATTGTGTTTATACAAAGGTAGTATTTCCTCTTTTCCTCCATTCTCAGTTATAGGTAAAAGGTTGCAGGAGCTAGGTAGCTTGGGTTTAAGTTATGTTAGAGAAGCGCCGTTCTAAAGGACTACTCCTAAAACTGATAAAAACTTCGAGTGGGTCCAAGTCCTAAAGCAGGTGGAATCTTCCCTGTTCTGAAAGCATTAAGTTTAGCTGACTTCACTGTCATGGGAACTGATAGCTCGTCGGATTGCTTGGTTTGTGTTATAATTTGAGCTAATTAACTTGAATCATAAGGCTGAACGATGAGTACTAGCATTGCCTGCTGAACAGTAACATTTTTATGCGGTCCTTAGGCAAATCAGTCGTAGCCAATCTCTTCACTCTATAAAAATGCTGACGAAAACCGCTAAGTTGCATACTACACTACTATAGTTAAAGGTTAGTACCAAAGACGAACGCCGCTATAGCAAGATCTATGTAATTAGTGATGTTTACTATACACTATCTCTTTTGTTCCGAAAGATGCAGGCTTATCTCACTGACTGAGCTTGTAATAGTACTTGTGCTAATTTAAGCATGTGTCGCGGCATCTGGCATAGCTCATTCCTTGGGCTTTGCTATGGGCTTTGATGTATGTTTTAAATTGGTACTAGTACTATATGTAATGTATAGTACTATTACTATATATATTACCGCGCCGCTTCTACTTGAAATATTAAGAGTTTCTCTCAAAAGACGAGATAAGACAAGTACGAACAGCTTGTATAATAAGAAATTTTCAAATTCAGTATATTCCGGGAATAAAGAACTATCTGGAATGTTAAATCCCTTCTACATAGCCTATATCTTCTACTCATCCTTGTAATTTCAAATAAACTAATTTTAAAACAATATATCCTAAGAGCTAGAATACCGCAAATCTGCTATATTTAAAAATCTATGAAGGTTTTTATAAGATGTACATCGAAAGACGAGTGAAGGCGATCTTTTCGTCTTATTAGAGAAAAACTTATCTTGATCCTTCAGCCTCATGTGGAGTTTAGCAGATTTGACCCTTAATTTCGTATACTTTTTCAAAATTGCCACCTCTAACTTCTTCAGCGACTACTTTTAAAAAGCTGAGATATACAACCCTAGCTAATGACGAACTGGCTGGCAATCAATGCGAGAAAAAGGATAAAGTGGTTTCTATTGTGATATTTGTTAACTATTGCCTTATTTTCATCAGTAAAATTATAGTTAATTTTTTGAGTTAACCAAAAAAACATTTTTACATTAATATTTTCTCGGTATTACTTTGCCAGGAGGCGACTTTCATTTGTTCTTTAGTTAAAAGAAAGTAAATAGGGATAAAAGTTATTCATATTGAGAAGACATGAGTTATATGAGTGGTTCGTACTACGGACTTTCATGGGTTACCTAAAGAGATGGAGAGTTCTACAACTGCTTGTCGAATTCTTGATAAACAGAAGGTACTCTAGTGGTGGATAACTCTGAGTAGCGAGGATTAAGTGAAGGCTTCTTTAGCTAGTGCAATTCTCAGGACGAAAATTCCGCGTTTATCTACTCGTGGTGACATTGCGCTTACTTACAGCGCTTGCCTTGGTTTAAAACAGTCTCATTAATTTATTAAGTATTGAATATAAAGCTTTATAGATTTCTGGAAGCAATAAAAAATATTTAGCATGGTTTTCTAGCCCCTCGACGTTTTTTAAATAATCTGAAAGAAAAGAGTGAGTTTTATTCCATGTCTCTTGGCTTACTTCCCCACATGTACCCAAGTTTTCAAGTTTTACTTTCATATCATTATCGCACGTCAAACAGACGTAGTCGTCCATTAAGAGGTTTAAATTATTAATACAGTTAGCATAAATCTCGTCATCTTTATTATATACTAGAAGGTCCTGACTTAATTTTTTTGTAAAGTTTGCGAAGGCTTCAAGTTCTTCTAATTATGTATTGTTACAACATGAAGAAATAGCATTTGGGCAATAACAACGAACAACACACATGTCAACAGTGCACTCACTGCAATTACTAAAAGTTTTATTAAAGACCAAGTTGCAATGTTTACTGTTGGCCCTTTCACACGAGGCACGGCGAGTTTGTGTAGGGTCTAAATTCTCATTGCCATTATTCAACTGTCGTAAGGTCGTCAATGCTAACGAGGCTAGTGCAATGCCTCCATAGAGAGAAGGCATTGATGGACTCTGTTAGATTTTTATAAAACTCTTCTACTTATATTGAAAGTTGAAAAGAAATAAACAACTTGTAAAAGGTGTAAAAAAAATTTGGTAGCGACA